TTTGAAGTCTTGTGTATGGTGAATGGTGTTTCATTCTAAAGACTTCTGGCATGTAGTTTCTCTGCTGAACGTTATCCGGCCTATGTGTGTATTGCTCTTAAACACAACTCTCTGTTAAATTCTCAATAAGGGCTGGGATTTTTTTTTCACGTGGACTTGGACTTCTAGTAATTCCCCCTGGTGTCTGGGTATGGAGATAGGACGCCCGTGTGCATTGTTGAGCATGTAAAAAATTCTCTTGGCAGTTGGAAATCGAAAAGAGTAGCCTAACGACACTGCCTAGGCACAATTTAAAGTTACGAATCTATCCAAAGTATTTCAGGATCCTCGCCGGTGCTACGGGGCCTGTGCACTGTCCTGAGCCCCTTCGGACTCAAACTTGAGTTAAAAGAAGAACGGAGCACTTATGGGTTACTATGCTGTGCCATGATGTTGATCCGTTGTTCAAACATCAAACCCCTTGGAATGGAAGATGTTAAACAATTACTTGGGGCTAGGAAAGCTGCTTCGATGTAGCAACTAGATTCTCGCCTGTAGATCGGAAGGTCTTGAGAAAGCTGGACTGTTCCAAAAATGACATTGGCTTCCAGGTCGACCCAGCTTTAAATGGGTACCAGGTACAAACTTGAGAAGTAAAGGCAACCGGCGTGATGTTGACCACATCACCACCGAATGCGATTGATTTATAAAATATATTTCCAGCCCTATATGCCCAGTACGAAAAGGGTCCGTTTAAAAGACTCAAAATTAACTGCCTGTTCTGTACAGGACGCTGCAAACCTACCCCAGTCTTTGTTAGCTGTTTGTGGTTCTAATCGGCGACTTTACATTCAATAGTTTGCCCTTACTTCCCGAACGGTTCGACGCTCATACCGTTATCGAAAGTAAAGTAAAACGGCCGGTCGCCAAAATGCCTGCACTGACGTTAACAGTCACTTAGACACAAACACTGACACAAAGATTTCTTATTTTTCTTCTGTTTCTTTCTTTCTTTCTTCTTCTTCTTCTTCTTCTTCTTCTTCTTCTTCTTCTTCTTCTTCTTCTTCTTCTTCTTCTTCTTCTTCTTCTTCTTCTTCTTCTTCTTCTTCTTCTTCTTCTTCTTCTTCTTCTTCTTCTTCTTTTTCTTCTTTTTTTTTCATTTCCTTCTTCTACTTCTTCTCTGCGTTCATCGGCTGTAGATTCTGACAAAAATTATTGGTTGTTCGTCCACTTCTGGACCTTGGTCTTGTTCCAGAATGTCAGATTTGCGTGCATATCCGTTTTACAGACGACTTATTTGTACGCAGGCGGTTTTTCCCTCGTCTCTCATGCGGATGCGCACTGACATCGACGGAAACATCCCTAATTATTCACCTTTTAGGACATGCTTGTTGGGGGTAGCACACCCCCCCCCCACCCACCACCACCTTAAAAACAATGAACCCGTAACCCACATTGGGAGACAGCAAGAGTTAAAACTGGGATCTCACGGAAATCCTACGCCCAGCAAACAGTTAAGATCGGTTATTTCAGCGGGCGCACAAGGCAAACCAACATCTTGCAGTAACGCTGATGGGAAAGCAATTAGCTAACGTAGTTGGGGATGCGCCAGAATAACATTTCACTTCTGTAACATTCGTTTGTCGGTGTCTGTGGCTTAGGCGTGGCCAACTCGCTTAGTAACGCCGGGGTGCCGGGTTCGATCTCAGCTGCAGGCCGGCCGTTCAGGGGCACTGGCAAACTACTGGAGGTAAATTTCCCTGGAAACTCCACAACAGCCAAAGAATGCTGGGGTTGGTTCTGCAACGTCCTGTAAAGGATACACAACTAACTAACTAAACATTTATTTCTGCGTTTTGATTTCATTAAAAAAAGGAAATCAGCCCCACCTTCAACTGTTGGTATCATAAAGGATGTTTGTAAAGTCTCACAACAAATTGTATGTAGAACAAATCGGCGAAACTAAATACATTATGTCATCAAACAAAATGTGCTCCACAGACAATATATAGTGAATGGTTGTCGTCTGCTGGTGTAATTATGTGCATTCATAACAGAATGGTGTTATCGAGAGAAGAAATAATCTCTCCCCCCCCCACCCCACCCCCCCCCCCACCCGCTAAACGAGTGTTTCGAAATGGCGTTCGGTACACATGGATGGTTGTGACACACAGATATAGACTTCTAGAACGCTTAAATGTTTGCGAGTTCTGCTCACATACTACTCAATTAACATGTCGTTTTGCACAAAATAGTAAATAATGCAAATCAACGTCAGTGTATTCTACAATCGTTGTGCTAAATCATACAACTGTAGTTGGTTCGTACCAAAGTTCCCATGACAGGGCGGAGGGAAGGCATTCGCTGCTGAATGGTCGCTTCACCCTGTGACATTTAGGAGACGTTCTGGTAATGAGCACGTACTTTTCTACATTCTTTTACTCCGGCATGGTGGAATGCGGAGGAAGTGTCGCAGATAATTAACCTCCGATTTACATCAACTGCAGTTGTTACATCCCCCCCCCCCCAAATGTGTATATGATAGGAAAGAAGCTCACGGTTTAAGATTTATTCTTTCATAAACCAAACGCCGGCTGTGTAAAGAAATTTATCTTCATCATTGTCATACTGTGCCATTTTTTGTAACAGATAAGTCAAGGACCCTTTTTCCCCGCCTTCGTGAGTATTGAACCTAAAAGGCTAGACCCGTATTTTACAAATCAATATACACTTGCTTGGAGCTGTGTTCAGCATCACGCTGGCCTCCTTTACTTCCCATGACTTTACCCGGTACTCATTTAAGACTGTAGACCCGGAGGCCAAGGTCATTTTTGAAAAAAAAAGTCTTATCTGTCAGTACCTGAACCCATTCCTTTCGGATACACAGGCGAGCGTTTAGCCGCTACATCACGGCTGCTCTTTGTCACATAGGGCTCGAAGTACATTCTCCTCGTTTCCTTTCTGTCCTGCGCAGTCTCTTCGATATCATCTTGTGACCAGGCCAGCCGACATGGAGAAAACATTGAGGGCTCAGGACAGTGCCCCTCCCACCTCAATGGCATTGGGGGGGGGGGTCCCTTTAAAGTCTTATTTAACTGTGCAATAATATTAATAATAATGTGGCGCGGTGATATTTGTCACAGGCGTGAGGGGAAGTTAAGTCCAACATGATGTGTATAAGGATATACTCCGTACGTCACTCGGGCGCCAGTCCTTAACTATCCTGGTTGTACGGAACCTCACGCAAGACCCCTACAGCACGTCCTCGTCGTGCGCCACGGATAATGTCTCAAATGAGCATTAACAGAGCTGTCAGGGGATCTCGGAGTTCGGCGGCCCCCAGAGGTGATGTGTCCTTGTGGCTCTCATCAGCCCGCCCCCAAACGCTTGGGTGAAAAATGTTATCAAAACTCATTAGGAACATGAGTAGGTTTGCCAAACGTACAGCCAAAATTACAACCCTTGGTTAAAAGACTGCGGAGTAAAGAGAACATTGTTCACTGCACATCCTCTGTTAACCCTCAGTGTCGTCGTCACCGCGCTGAGGTACACCACAACAGCAACCATCCATAGGCTGGCCATTCATGTACATCCTCGGTTAACCCTCAGTGTCGTCGTCACCGCGCTGAGGTACACCACAACAGCAACCATCCATCGGACGGCTAAGCCTAATTGTCCGACAAAACTAGATCATACGGATCAAAATCTGACCATCAAAATTTGTATTGAACTGAAAAAGACCGAATGTCCACACCCAAAGACCCCACTCGCCCGAGTGTTGGGACAAAACGGATAACGATATGCTTGATGCAGGATGTAAAATTCTGTCGGGCTAACGGCTCGTCAAAGAAATCTAACGTGCGTAAAAAAATTTTTAAAAATGTACCTATCTGTGTGGTCACAAAAGTCCAAAACCCACGGGCTGCTCCCCGCTGACTTCCAGAGGGCGCAGCCCCTGTCGAGCGGGAGGCCTGATACGGTTGTGAGGTTAAGCAGGCATGTGCAGGACGTGACGATTCCTTGGGTGAGCCCAGAACCAGAGCGCCATGTGCCGGCTCTGCATGCATGGATGCCTCCTTGGATGACGGGGAATGCCCATGATCTGCCCCTGCCTTCCCTTGAGGGCTAACTGTTCCACAGGGGGCTGCCCCAAAGGGGTACTCCGAGGGCAATACCTGCGGAGAAGGAGACAAAGTGGACACCACACAAATCAGGCAACGTCTCGACCCACACAAAACAATGGCCACAGTCAACCTAGAAATAGGCCTGACGTCTTCCTTCGAAGTCGGAGTACAGCTGCCCAGGAGGCAGGGAAATGAAAAACGGTTGTACACGCAAAAATCAGGTCCAGGTGAAAGCCAAAAGTCCAAGCGGACGATTAACCGGGACCTTCCACTGGAATTCACAGCCGGTGATCGATTTAAAAAAAAAAAATTAATAATAATAATAGCAATCGTTATTATTACTACACAATTAAACAAGACTAACTGTGACTATGATAAGAATTGGAGGAAAAGACAAGAGAAGTAAGCAAAGATGACAAGGACATCGAAAATTAAAAGGAGGAGAGACAACGCGAAGTGAGTGGGGGAGGATGATGATGAAGAAGAAGAAGAAGAAGAAGAAGAAGAAGAAGAAGAAGAAGAAGAAGCAGAGAAGAAGAAGAAGAAGAAGAAGGAAGAAGAAGAAGAAGAAGAAGAAGAAGAAGAAGAAGAAGAAGAAGAAGAAGAAGAAGAAGAAGAAGAAGAAGAAGAAGAAGAAGAAGAAGAAGAAAGAGGAGAAGGAGAAGAAGAAGAAGAAGAAGAAGAAGAAGAAGAAGAAGAAGAAGAAGAAGAAGAAGAAGAAGAAGAAGGAAAGAAAGCAAGGAGAACGTGTAGCAGCAGCATCAAGATAACAAAGCAACTGCAAGAACAACAAAAGACCCGAGAAAGCGAGTAAACATTCTTCCTACTCATTTACATAAAATCAAAGATGAACATATTCAATACGCCTATACCTCTAACAGGTCAGCTCATTCTAACATGTCTCTGGGCGACACTGTTATTCTGAACGAGCGGCGGATGACACATAGTGTCATCCCAGTCAAACAGTCTTCCCTGCCTGGACTCATGAGACTGCCCAGAAGGTAAGCCATGTCTTAAACAAAGTTAGTATTTAGAGAATCCCAGGACCTATTTCTTTTTCTTAAGCTTCTTGAATGGGTTCCGCGGACCCATTGTAAGGGGGGGGGGGGGGGACAAGAGTAGACCCACTGCCTGCCTAACAAACGTGTCGTAGGAGCCAACTAATTGGGGGGTATCCTGTGAAGTCGGAGTACATCTGCATGAGAGGCAAGTAACAAACAGTCTGTATACAGATAAGCCAGATCTGTGAAACGGATTGGCATGTTACAGTTAGGTTCTGGGATAAGGTTAAATCCCGGAGGTGGACGAAGACCCAAAACTTTCCTCAGGGGTCTACAGTGGTGAACGCGAAGAAGAAGAAGAAGAAAAACCTCAAGTTCGATGCGTGATAGCTTAGGAATCGTGGGTGAGACTCAGTTTTAATGAGTAAATCCGATGTGGATTTACAGCACTCGGGACACCATCATAAGCGCCCCGCCCCCATCTTCAGCAGCAAGCGAAGAGTTAAAATTCAGATGGTACCAGTAACTGTCTGATTGTATATCCGTCTCGACTTTCCCCTGAGTGTCAAGCGTCAGCCAGATCCCTTTGTAACTCCTCGCAGTGACATTCTCCTCAGACCGTAATGATATATCTGATCCTCGGCACTGTTCACTCGCTCCCAAAGGAGCCCTCACAACATCCAGCTTGTCATACATCAGTTCACCACGAAGTGGTGCAGAACCGGCCACTTTATCTGCCTTATCATTTCCCAACACCCCGGCATGACCTGGAGAAAATATCCATAAGATGATAACAACCCTGGACCTCTGAAGTGATGCTTGCCACTCTGCCCGGAGCAATCCTGTCTCCACCTTTCTCAACATGCTCTGTGAGTCAGTTACAATGACGACATGTGTGTACAGCCGATTGTGGAAAACTTGAGTCTGATGCAACACCATTCACACGGTATGAGCTTTGAGAGGGACGTACCTCTACCAAAGGGAAGTCTATGTTTTGGTTTTTCCTCCCGACCTGGTACTAAAACAACATTTCTACGAGGGCTGTGCTGCAAAACTTTCAGTCCCCCGCACCCTCTCCTTCCATTCTGAGAAACTAGCAGGTTGTGAACGACCTTAAAAATGTCCAACAGTTTTGTCTATATTTTCGAGTTATGTCCCTTCCTTGAACACATCTGCTACCTTCCCAACTTCTCCGGGCCAATTGCTGTTCTGTTTCTATCCTGTGACGACAAGTGTGTTAGAGCTTCTACTGATAACAAGTACAATGGATATTTTATGACGGACCCCGCCGTTCATTTAATGATTTTGTGCATTCTTGTCTGTAACTGTATCATTGTATATTGTGTCAATACTGATGAAAGCATTCTAGTTCCAACTTTATGTTATCATTTTGTGATTGTGGTATTGTGAAACTGACCAGTATATAAAGACATGTAGGGAAACTACACTGTATATTCTTACGTCCTTTTCAGGACGTAATTTTTTGTTATTTGAAACCCCACTCTGGCTTTTGCCAGGGGCCGCAATATAGGCAGGCCATAAAAATGGCCAAATGTCTGAACGCGGTTTCTGGGACCTCTCCACGGTGATCCTCATCCGCATGGTGGCACGTTGTGTCATCGGGTGTTTATCGCTTGTGTGATGTCCTGGTGGGGTAGTCAGTCAGTCAGTCAGTCAGTCATGTAGGGAAACTTCACTGTAGGTAGGAATGTATTACATGATAGCTTTGTTCGGGTCTTGGCGCAGAACATCTTATCACCACTAATATCGGAAACTACGTGGTCGAGTTGTTTTTTTTTAACGGAACATAATATCGGAAACATGGAGCTAACATGTAATGTTTCTTCTTCTTCTTTTTACCGTTCACCGATTGTAGACTGGAAAGTTCTGGTTGTTTCTCCACTTCTCGACTTTGTTCTTGTTCCAGAACTGGACTTTTGCGTGCACATCATTTCTACAGGTCTTACCTATTTATATGCAGATTGTTGGTTTCTTGCTTCCCAAGCAGAAACAATCCGATTTCAAAGGAAACTCCCCTACTTAGTCACCTTTTACGACATGCTTGTTAGGGGGCAGAGGGTGTAACTTTTTCATTCCTCCATAATGAAGCCCCGGAACCCACAGGGAGATAAAATGCTGCTCCGCAAAATTAAGACTAGTTGAGTTGAGTCAAGAATTGACATCACAGCACTCGGGGCATTCCTATGCATGCTCCGTCCTCATCTTCAGCAGCCAGACCCCCTGGTTACACCCAGGTGCCTCATTCCCTCTAGGCCATAATAATCTTGTTTCTCTACTGAATCCGTTGCTTGTTTCCAAAGGGCCTTGACCACGTTTGCCTTGTCATGTATCAATTCACCACCCAGTGGTGCAGATCCATCCAATCTGTCTGCTTG